GCATCACAGCTCACAGCATCTTCCAACTCCTGGGCTCTGGCGATTCTCTTGCCTCAGCCTCCCAAGTAGCTGGGACTACAGGTGCCCACCACAATGCCCGGCTATTTTGGGGGTGTAGTTATTATTGTTGTTTGGCAGGCCCGGGCTGATTTGAACCCACTAGCTCTGGTGTATGTGATTGGCGCCGTAGCCGCTTGAGCTACAGGCGCCAAGCCCATACAGTATTTTTCTTTCTGCATCTGGCTTATTCCACTTAGCACCATGTCCTCTGGGTTCATCCCCATGTTTTCAGTTTTTAACTATTTCAAATACAACTGCTGTGAACATTCTTTTTCTTCACTAGGGATATAATTCACACACCACAAAATTAACCCTTTTAAAGTATACAAGTTAATAGTTTGTGATATACAGTAAAACCTCCATAGTTGGCCACCTTCCTGCACTGACCACCTCAAGCTGACCTAATTTTCATAAGCCAGACATGAACCACACCACATGTATGTATCAGTACAGTAGGCCTAGTTCCTTATGTTGACCACCTCTGTATGTTGACCAGTTTGTTACAGTCCCTTGAGTGGTCAACTTACAGAGGTTCTACTGTTTACAATATTATGCAACCGGGTGGCACCTGTGGCTCAAAGGAGGAGGGCGCCAGCCCCATATGCCGGAGGTGGAGGGTTCAAGCCTAGCCCTGGCCAAAAACTGCAAAAAAAAAAAAAAAGAAGAAAGAAAGAAGAAAAAAGAAAAAAAAATACAATATTATGCAACCAACACATTTAATTCCAGAATATTTTTATTATCCCCCAAAAAACACTCCATACCCACGAACACTCATTCTTCCCTCCTCCCAGCCTCTGGCAAGTGTGTCCCTGTGGATTTGCCTATTCCGGAAATTTCATATAAATAGAATCATACAATATGCGACCTTTTGTGTCTGGCTTCTTGGCTATGAGCATTCTTTTTCTTTTTTTTTTTTTTTGAGACAGAGCCTCAAGCTATCACCCTGGGGTGATATCACAGCTCACAGCAACCTCCAACTCCTGGACTCAAGCGATTCTCCTGTCTCCACCTCCCAAGTAGCTGGGACTGTAGGCGCCTACCACAATGCCCGGCTATTTTTTGGGTGCAGCCGTCATTGTTATTTGGCGGGCATTTCTGGTCTGGTGTAATTAGAACACAGGTGTAAGAGGACATCTATTTTTCCTGCCTAGTATATCCCTACTTCCCGAAAAGGCCCCTGTAATTTCCCTTCAGAGAATCACATTTCTCCCTAGGACCTCGGGGAAGGCATGGTCCTTCCAGGTTTAGCCAATCAAAGCAGTGCATACTTCTGATTGGCTTAAGAATGGTCATGTGACACAATCTAAGCCAATGAGCACCAGCCTTGGGACTTTTCCCCAGAATGACTAAGCAACAGACTTTCTACACTAGAATTGATAAGCAGGGAGGATGCAAGCCCAAAGATACTAGGGGCCAGTTTATAGAGAAAGCCTACCAAATAATGAAACTCACACACTGGAAAAGCCAGTAAAAAGAAACTTAAATAAAGGCTGGGGCAGTGGCTCATGCCTATAATCCTAGCACTCTGGGTAGATTGCTTCAGCTCAGGTGTTTGAGGCCAGCCTGAGCAAGAGTGAGACCTTGTCTCTACTTAAAAATAGAAAGGGTGGTGCCTGTAGCTCAAAGGAGTAGGGTGCCGGCCCCATATACCGGAGGTGGTGGGTTCAAACCCAGCCCCAGCCAAAAACTGCAAAAAAAAAATAAATAAAAATAAATAAAAAATAGAAAAATTAGCTGGGCATTTTGGCAGATGCCTGGAGTCTCAGCTACTTGGGAGGCTGAAGCAAGAGGATCACTTGAGCCCAAGAGTTTGAGGTTGCTATGAACTATGATGCCACCGCACTCAACTTAAGGTGACAGAGTAAGACTCTGTCTCAGGAGCAGTGGCTCATACCTGTATACCTAGAACTCTGGGAGGCTGAGGATAATGGACTTCCCAGAGCTTCACAGGTTCAAGATCAACCTGAGAAAGATAGAGACTCCACCTCTAAAAATAGCCAGGCGTTGTGGTAGGTGCCTATAGTCCCAGCTACTTGGGAGGCTGAGGCAAGAGAATTGCTTGAACTCAAGAGTTTGAGGTTGCTATGAGCTATGATGCTATAGCACTCTATCAAGGATTACAAAGTGAAACTCTGTCTTAAAGTAAAATAAAATAGACTCCGCACTCTGCAGATCAGTGGTTAGGGCACCAGCCATATACACTGAGGCAGGCAGGTTCAAACCTGGCGCAGGCCTGCTAAACAAAGACAACTGCAACAACAAAAAATAGCCAGGGATTGTAGTAGGTGCCTGTAGTCCCAGTTATTTGGGAGGTTGGGGCAAGATAATCGCTTAAGCCCAAGAGTTTGAGGTTGCTGTGAGCTATGACACTCTAGCACTCTACCAATGGCAACATATTGAGACTCTTTCTCAAAAAATAAAAAATAAATAAATAAATATAGACAAATAAAACAAAACTAAACGAGAGACAGGTCCTAAAAATATCATCTAAACAGCAGGATCCAGCCCTACTGGAAGCTATTCCTGAACTTTTAAGTTACATGAGCCAATAAATCCCTTATTTTTATTAAGCAACTCTCAGTTGCTTTTCTGTCATCTGCAAATCAAAGAATCCTGACTGACATAAGGTACACAGAGGACTGGGAAGAGGAGAGCTGGGAAGGTGGAATTGAGTTAACACTAAGAAAAAAAAGGTCATGAGGCTGGGTGCAGTGGCTCACACCTGTAATCCTAGCACTCTGGGAGGCCAACGTAGGTGGATTACTTTTTTTTTTGAGACAGAGCTTCAAGCTGTCCCCCTGGGTAAAGTGCTGTGGCATCACATCTCATAGCCACTTTCAACTCCTGGGCTCAAGAGAGTCCTGCCTCCACCTCCCAAGCAGCTGGGACCACAGGCGCCCACCACAATGCCCGGCTATTTTTTGGTTGCAGCCATCATTGTTTGGTGGGCC